CTAGGACTTTTCACATTCGAGACTGTCCTATTTGAAAATGTTTTTCTCCATTCTCTTATTTTAGGAGGGAAAAAATAAAAATGTAAAAATTATGTAAAACATTGCTCCTCAATCTAGGCTCGTAATCGAATCAAATCATAAACATGAGTTCAAAGAATATCAAAGGAATCAACATCTCTTTTAATGCTTTCAGAGTTATAGCTCTTTGAAAAATATTCAAGTGGATGAGTTGGCTTTAGGTTGACTTAGGGTTTCAGCCATAAAAAAATGTCATTTTTTGGTTATTGCAACATGCTTTTTCTTTGTCTTGGTATTTTGATTGGATACAGACAAAATGACGCAACTAGCATTATCAATTACTAGACATTCTATTTCGGTTCTCTGAAATCTTCCATTTGTTCAAGTTTTGTAAGCTCCTCTAACAAAGGTAGTGCAGAAATATCGGTCTAAAAATGAAATTCTTGAGTGCTTGTGTGGATTTGACTATAACAGGTGTTCCTTAACTCCCTTAGTCCATCATTACCGAAAATTTATTGCTTAGATAAATTTGATTTAATTTGCTATTATCTGGCTAGCTTAATCCATAAAGCCGGGGCATTTAACCAATTGCTTTATAGGGACAACTTAACATTATAATCACTTTTATCAAGTTAACTGAAGGGTTCATCTCATCACAAAGTCTTCAGCCGTACAATAGCAGTAGAGCAAACACTGAATTGCCAAGTGTTCGAGCAATGTCATGGTTTGAACGTAATCTATTCATAAGGCCAGGGCTTTCAAGTTTCCTCTATAACCAATTTCCTTAGTGGAATAACTCAGCTTTACAGATTTAATTTCTTAAGATTGTCAAGAAGAACCTGTTATAGTCTAGGTGTTGTTGAAAGTCAAAAATTTCATCTTTAGAGTTCAATTTTCAAGCAATTGACCTAAACTAGATTCACCTACTCGACTATTCCATCAGTAAAGATCATTATCATCACTAAACGTCTTAAACAAAAAATATAGAAATGTCATATGCAAAAGATGCCCCATATTGTCTGTACCTATGAACATCTAAATACCAATCCTCTTTTTCATTCTCTTATGAGATGAGAAATCTATATCGGTTATTTGCAAGAGAAGGGTACGATGTTTGAGCGTATTTTTTGGGGTAAAATCAAAGGTCGTTATTTTTTAACCATGTCACAATGTCAAAGATCTATAACTCCAATCATTTACTGAGTTTTTGAATTCAGCTGATATTCAAAGAATTTCAAGTTGTAAATTTGATTAAGTGCTCGGCACAAATTCATTGAAATGTCCTTATAAAAAGAAATATGTCAAAGTTCAAAAACAAGTTACAAAAAGAAATATGAGAATGTTCAAAAAACAAGTCTAAACAGGACGCTACAAAATGGAATAAATCCTCATTAGGATACCCCACTTGCCCAATGAGTATTCATTTTATTCAAGCTAGACAATCGTGAAATAATCTGGTCAACCAATAAGTTTTGGTTCCTAGTGATGGAATCCAAGGTACTTTGTTGATTTTGATTTATTTTCGTCCAGTTCCTTCTGTAATCTTAGCATGTTCTCTTCAAGTTGCGCAATCTTGGCTTTCATTTTCCTTTGCGCGAGTGTTGTAAGGAGGACACGTGTCCGAAGCTTGTGAATGTACGTCCAGTGTTTGTACCCCTTTGTTTATGAAAATCTTTTGTTAGTTTGTATAGATGTAATGAAAAAAAGAAAAATTATGCGAAATTTGCAAGAATGCATGATGCATGAAATGTTCGAGTCATTGATCCAAAAAATGTGTCTATTATTGTAAATAATCCTTATTGGGGACAAAAGTGTTACGCCTTAAGAGACAAAAAATATTTTAAAAGTATAGACCCCAAACTACTTCTGACAGGTTGATTCATCTTCTGCCTTCTTCTGTCACTGGTTGAATACCTTGTTGAACCATTCCGGCTTCTTTGGATAAGTCGTGCAAGTGACGAGCTGCTTACCCTAAAAAGTCTCAAATGACTGTCACCGACTTTCACTCTTTGTTGAGCCTGTTCCTTAATAGAAACGCCACTGGGCCCTCCATTGTGAAGTTCGTTTGCTTGTTTCATGAATTTGTCAGCAACGACATCTAACTCAGCTAGGGTTTCGCCATCTTGTTCTCGTAATCTTCGAAAGAACTGTCCAGGTCAGTAGCCTTTTTCTTGTCTTGCCCCTACAACTTTCACCATCCCGTTTTGGAAAGGTTGACTTTTGAAATGAAGTTTTAGGTGGGCTCTAATTCCCTGTCATCTCTCGGTTTAGGTTCTAAAAAAGGTACCCGAGTTCTCCATGCTGGTGCCCCCTTGGGCTTGCCAGACCCTTAGTCCTAAGCTCATTACAAGCTTATGTTGACTAAGTTAAACTCGAGATGATACATTCCCTTATGCCCATATGGAGAATAAATTCACACGAAAGCATAAGGTATATGAATCCCGAAGGTTACTTGCTAGGCCCATACAGAGAATAAATTCACACGAAGGCGTCGCTTTCACCCCCACTTAAAAGGGTTTGGAGCTCGGGTATAGAGCCTAAGATGAAAATTTTGAAAAATCTGAAATCATTAAAAAAACGTCAGTACAACTATTTATTGGAAAAATAATCAAAGATAAATAATTGGAATCTAATAAATAAATTAAAATTTACCATTTTAAAGGCAACCGAAAATTAATTTCGGTCTGACTCACTTACCTGCCCCCAACAGAGTCGCCAAGCTGTCGAAACCGTCTTTCGGATGAACCCCATAATTGGGCTTCGACTTGGATTAAACGAATTGGAGTCGCCACCGATCATTTATTTTAAAACAAATGGGTTGATCGGACACCCTATTTCTTACCTGATCTACGTCTTTCCAAAGATGTGTCGGATACGGGAGTCGGTTACAGTCAAGGACGGGTTAGCACCATTGAACTGCCCTTTCAGTACTATGCAATTTTCAGTTGTCTTAAATTATGAAAATTGTAATTTAAAATTAAAAGGTAAAAATACTATCCCAATTATTTATCTTAGATAGTTTTAAAGGTGTACCTTTAAGAGAGTCAAGAAACATGTTAGATAAAAAAATAAAAATAAATAGAATAAAAAAAGACCGAAATAAAGGAATAAAAAAGAGTGAAGATAAAAATAAATACGATAAGAAAAATAAAATGAAAAAGAATGATAATAATATATACATAACAAACAAGTAAATAAAAAAATAAGAAGAAAATACAAATAAATAAAACAAATGTAAAAATAATAAAAAAATAAAGATAAGGAATAAAAATAAAAAAGGTTAATAGAAATAAATAAAATAGAATAAAAACAGTAAGTAAAGAGTAATAAGAGAAAATAAAAATAGAAGGATATAAGAATAATAAATAAAATATATGTATATATGTAAAAATAAATATAATATTTACAACAAATAAAAAATAAATGAAAAAAATGTATATATATATATAATAATAATACGTATAGATAAATAGAGAGAAAAATATAATAATAGTATAGAAATGAAATAAAATAAGATAAAAAATATAAAAAATATGCATATAAATAAAATGTTTTAAATAATAATAATAAATTAAAAAAAGATTAAAAAAATAAAACATATAAAAGATAATAATAATAATGAAGTATATATAATAATAATAGTAAAGAAAAAATATAATATAAAAAAATTGATTTTTTTAAAGTTCTTTCTCTCATTTTTTTTAAATGTCCGAACGATTTTCACAAAATAGTCTCGGGGTTCCGTAGATTTAAAAAGTTTAAAAATAAATCACCTCTGGTCATCATCCTTTTGAGTTTTTGTGGTTTTACAAATCGAAAGCAGGAAACAAACGACACATGCAAGTCTAACAATCGAAAAAGGTAAGGTTTTTTTACCTTTGTTACCTTCGAAACTTTGCAAAAAAATACTTTTGATTCCTCTAAATTTTCTGTTCATATTTCGTCTATCAATTGTGTGTTATAATAGTGAGTTACAATGACTATTTAAAATACTTATGGATAATATTTTTAGGAGTTTGAATTTTAGTAAAACTCTAACGTTATATTTATTTTTAGAATCCCACTAAATCGGAGTTATTAAAAGTATTGTACCAGGACGAAAATGTGTGTTGACACTATGTTGTCATAATTATCAAGAAACGAATATCCATATGTTGTGTGACTGCATCGAAGATAAAGTTGTCTGGAACCGCCTTATCCCTCCCTAGCTGACCGTTTCTTTTTATCTCAACGACCCTCAGCAGTGGCTTCAGGATAATATTCCCAGCCAAACGATTATCTCACACTGGGACCTTCCTTGGAGTACTTTAATTGCTACAACTCTTTGGCAGATATGGAAGAGCAGAAACGACAAAGTATTTAATGACATTCCTCAAAATGGAGAGACGCCACCCTTAGTCGTAGCTTCACCTGGGGCCGTTACTACGCAGAAAGCAAAGTGCATTCAACGTCCAATCGTGCCACCCCGAACCAGCAGGTTGATTGGAAATCTACCGAGCCCGTTTGGGTTTGCTTGAACGTTGATGGAGTTGTCTCCTCCACCACTAAACATGGAGCCATTGGTGGAGTATTTAGAGACAATGAAAGATCACGGATACTTGGTTTTAACAAAGCTCTTGGAATCTTACAACCATCGCAGGCTGAATTATGGGCAATTTACGTTGGCCTTCAGATTGCTTGGGACCATGGGTTTGAATTTCTTGTTATTCAATTTGATTCCATGGAAATCGTTAACCTTTTGAAAAAATCGGACGCTCATTCCAGTGGTCTTCCTTTGGTACGTGCCATCGAGAAGCTTTGAAAGCAAGCTTGGGTCACTACTATCTAGTGGATTTCTCGAAAAGGAAACTCTCTTGCTGATACAATAGAAGTCTGCTATCTCGAAGAGCGATTTTATGCTGAAACAATATCCCACATTGGTGAACTATATGAGTGGACCACTTATTTGACATTATAAATAAAGATATCTACCTCTTTTCAATATTTTTACCTAAACAGGTCAATGAACGATCATTAAAGTTCATGGCTTAGGTAAGCGACCTCCATTGCACTTTGGAGAGGTGCTTGCCTAAGGTCTCCCCAGTGTAGGAGAGCCTACATCATAATTTGTGGTAGTGGGTGAGTTTGAATTTGAATCGAGCTCAAAATCAAGCTTTAATTGAGCTCGAGTCTCGAGTTTTAATCGAGCTCTTGAATATTTTTTAAGTTAATTCACGAGTTTTCTAGTTGAATCAAGCTTACTTTTAAAATTTTCGAATTCGAATTGAACTTAACAATACTCGACTTGACTGATTTACACCCGTAATCTCTTGTAGTGAAAAAGCAAATGCAATGCTTATCTGATCTGTTTCTTTTGTACTGAAAAAGCCTTTGATGGGAGCAGCAACTTGTGAGTTGGTGGACCGTCGATTAAAAATTGGAATTTTATAAAGTTTGCCTCAAATAATTGGAGACCCAAGTTTAAAATAAAAATCAGTTCACATAGTCACTATATAGTCACTATATAGTCACTATCAATATTTAATTATGGTGTAATTAGGCATCCACAATACGTTTTTTATTTTAATAAAATTAAATTTTAATTATATTAAAACATTTATTAAATTTTAATTATATTAAAACAACATTTTGATATGCATTACGAAAAATTCGAGTTTAGGAGTTGATTACGTATGAAAAAGGGTAAATCTCCCACAACGTCCTAAATCAGTACCTAATTAATTAATTAGCCATCTTTGGAAAAAAATTATACGTTCGAATACAACTTAATTTGATACCTCTTTTAAAAAATACAAAGTAAGGCAAAACTTAACTATATACATCAAACAAATAAAATTAGTTAATTATTTTACCAACCTTTAATGAGAATAATTATTATCAATTATTTAAAGACATCGAGATCATACCTTAAATCCAATCTAACAATCTTTTTTCGACGAATTTAATTAAAAGAATACAATCCTTTTTCCAGTCTCAAGTTTTAAATGAAAACAATTTTTATGGTTACATTTAGTGGGATACCCCTTTATTTTAAAATCATCATAAATAACCTTTCTATACCTTAAGACAATCACTTCACCACGGTTTTAAAATGAAGGGGGTATTATTCTTAATCTACTTATTTTGATCCAATCAAATAATGTTTATGATGATATCATGCAAATGATTCAAGTTAAATCTTGGACCTATATGCACCAAATTACATATTCGCATAGTGACAAATAACCATATTTTATGAACAAACAAAAATGTAATAAAAATCAAAGATTAATAACCTTCGTATGCTGGCATTCAATTAATGTATATATAGGTATGCATTATTATGGGAAAACAATAAACAAAAAAAAGAAGGTTATTAATATACGTCAATGAATAATATTAATGTAATGTGAACTTGTGTTTGCTTAACTCTGAGTAAACTAAATGTGCATGTTAATTGTAACGAAGTGATCGAGGCAATTAAACGTTCAACGTACTATTTCAACGCATGATCATCTTAAATTAAGACAAAAACTAAGGGATTATTATTTGAAAAAATAACTTCAGTGACCGAAAATGCCTTATAATATACGATTTTAATCAATTTTTTTTGGATTTGCGAAAATGACCAATAAATTCGCAACGCGAACTCCAATTTCGCAACACAGTTTCTAAATTCGCAACGCGAATTTGTAATTCGCAACACAGAAGTCAAATTCGCAAAGCGCGTTTATTTTCGCAACGCGAATTTTATTTTCGAATTCGAAACACAATATTAATTTCGCAACACAAATGTAAACAATATAATCGCAACTTATAACCTAAAACCCAAAATCACAACTTAGTCCCATCTCCATCTCTCACTCTCTACGACGACATCTGTCCCCATCTCCAGCGAAATCCGTCCCCATCTCTGGCGAAGTCCGTCTATCTCCATCTCTCAGAGCCACCCTCACAACCATTCACGGCCACAAATGAAAAATCAACCACCGATGGTTAGTTTTTTTAATTATTTTTATTTTGAAAATTTTGTATTATTATTAGATTTTTCATATTTAAATTGATTATAAATTTACTCATAATTTCAATAAATAGATTAACCATTTCACTTAGATTGCTTAGTAAATTCATTCGGTTGCTGTCAATACTGCTAAACTGTTTAGTCTTTAACCTTGTAAAGTTAGTATTTGTCTTTGTTCTGTTTTTTTGGTTGAAGTAATGCAATTCAAGAAGAAGAGTAGTTTTTGAAACTTAAATTCGCAATACGAAAATGAAATTCGCAACACGAAAATCGCAACCCGAAAATGAAAATCACAACGCGATTTTTGCGTTGCGATTTTTGCGTTGCGAATTCAGAAACTACTCTTCTTCTGCAAATTGAAACTTGAATGAATTGCATTACTTCAACAAAAAAACTATGATAGAATAATGACTTGGGTGAATACCGTGCTAGTTTGAAACATATTCGGCTTCATTGACTCTAAGGAATAAATTAAGCCTAGCCACTACAATAACGTCGACATTTACACCTGTACAAGGAAAATTGTTTTAGGATACTTGCTTCGGGCCATGGCTGAAAGTACAACATCCAGGTGGAGATGCTATGTTGACCCATTTGTTTCTTAATACCATGACTAACGATCTACCTGAGAGGATACAACGTGGTGATGAAGAGATATGGTTTCATTTTTCACCGACGTATACTTGTTTTGGGCTGGAAGAGTTTTGCTTAATCACTGGTCTACGTTTCAGACACGATGAAGTAGGTCGGTACACTAGTCATATCGCCCGCCCATCATGGTTTTCTCAGGTTTTTCCTGAGCTAGCAAAGGCGAAGCCCAGTTTACACGTCGACGACTTGAAAAGATTACTTCTTAAAGATGGTTTTACTCGAATGGATGACCTTGATGTTGTATGAGTATGCCTTTTATTACTTTTGAATGATGATTTTTTAGGCAAAGAGGCCATACAACCTATTTCTGAGGACCTAATATTATTGGTAGAGGACCTAAATGCATGGAACGTGTTTCCGTGGGGTTCATATCTATGGAAAGCTACCTGGAAAAAGTTATCGTCTGCCTTTGAGGACCGTCGTATTTTGCATGGCGATGGTTCCAAATACACTTTGGTAGACTTTATTTGGGCCTTTAAGGTAATAATTTTTATATAATGTTTCCAAAATTATAATTAATTATTTAACAATTACTAATGTTTGTGTATTATATTGTTTGTAGATTTGGATATTTGAGGTTTTTCCTAGCACGCAGACATATGCAAGAAAAAATTCAAATGATATTCCTAGGGCTATTACCTGGACGAGGATCCTGTTGTTGGATTGGGAAGATTTACTACCATATACGATGATGAATGATGTAAGTTAACACAAATACTACCATATATAAACACGTTATTACTAGTAGACGTTTAACTTTGTTTGAGCTTTTATATTGTTAGGAGGCCAACTATCCATTACAGAGGCTGACACCCACATAGGCTGAGCTTGCCACTGATTGGTGGCAAGCTAGTAAGCGGTTTTTTGATGGGACGGATGATGAGCACCCCCCACTTCGAGAGCCATCACCTGATCGAGCCGATTCTACAGCTCGACACCCAGAGCCATCACCCGATCGAGCCGATTATATACCTCCACAAAGAGAGCCATCACATATTCTATCACATCATCGAGCCTCTTCTCCACCATCACCTCATGATAGACGACTGAAAAAGATGCCATGATATTTATCTCCCTGTTCTCCACCTCTACGGGATGAGTTAGGCGAGTTACGTGATGAGGTCAGTGCTTTACGTGATGAGGTCGGTACTTTACGTGACGATAATGGTGCATGGCGTGATGAGGTACGGTCTTTACGTGGTGAGGTAGATGTTTTACGCGATGAAAATGGTGTTTTACGTGGTGAGGTATCTACTTTACGTGATGAGGTAGCCGCTCTACGTGAGATTGTTTCATCGTTACAGAATGAGGTTCATACTCTACGCAATGAGGTAAGTTTATTTAATACTATACTAAAAATGCAAATAACATTTTTTCGGCATTATTTATTTATTTATTTATTTATGTATTAATTTATTTTTAGCGGCCTGATAAGGTAGATGCTTTACGTCGGGTTTTTCTTGCAACGATGGGGTTCACGCATCAGACATCGTGCACGTGCCATTACGTCTCCTTTCACCCCAATAGTGCCAAGACTCTGTAAGAAGAAGTCTGATTCACCTGTCATCGTTCAAGAGGCCCCTCCTATCATTCAAGAGGCCATTCTCATCGTTCAAGAGGCCCCTCCCACTGTTCAAGAGGCCCTTGTCATCGTTTAAGAGGTCCCTCCCATCGTTCAAGAGCCCGATTCACATGGCATACTATGTTGACATATTGATAAACCCCCTCACGTGCCCGATATGATGGATGAGAGTTGGCTTTCGTATGAGTTATCGGCCAGTACCATTCCTCAGCAGGAGAGGAGAACACTACCGGACACAATTATGGATAATACCCTTTGGGCTAAGATCGCAGTTGATTTTTATCTACATGAGCGAAGCCAGGGGTGTTACGCTGACATATGCAAAATCGACGATAGTATGCATGTAACATCCTAAAATACAGGTTAGTGACTAAATTGTAAAACTTCAGAGTATGGTGATCAAAGTAGGATACTTGTACAGTTTAATGATTTGTTCGGAAATATTTCCTGAATATTATTAGTAATTATCAAAGGAATTAAAGGGCAAAATGGTCATTTATCATGAAAGATATTTTTATCTCTTTATTAAGAGATAAACGTTGGGGGGGAAGAGTATCTGAAAACTCTTTCTTCTTCTTTTCTTCTTCCCCATCGTGAGCAAAAGAGGGCAAAGGTAAGGGTTTTCTAAATTGTTGGTTATTTATTAAATTTAAGGTTAGGTTTTGATCATTAGATAATAACTAAGCTTAAGGAAAGCTTAAGTTGTCTTATAATCAAAAGATGAAGAAGTTATAAGAGATTAAAGAAAATGAGTTTTTATATGAAATCATGGAAAAGAGTTGATAAGTTGAATTTAAAGTTAAATTTGACTTGTCATCATCCTAATTAAGGAATATGAAGTGTTAGAATTGTATTTAGAACATATTGAAATTTGAGTATGATTCTTGAATTTCATATGAAGGATAGGATTTTG